TCAAATATGTTGTCTCCACCAGTTGGAATCTCCCAAACACACTAAGGCCTTCCCAAACAGGGCGTTTATTGTAGAAGACCCCTACCTGCATGAGTAACCAGCCACTCGGCTCCATACACCGACTGAAGCATATACATGGATATCTAGTTACCTGACACTGATCTGCATTTGAATCGGCTCCAACCAGCTCCACTCAGCTAATAAGGGTTAGCAACACCATCAGAAACCCCACTCGGCAGTAATAACCAAGTGAGAATATTTGCTGGTACAATGCCAGCACTTGAAGGGGAAAAGAGGTCTCATTTCAACTGAACATGTTAGGCGCCACTGCATGACAATCGGCTTGTTGCATAAAACATGTGCGCTATACATGTCTCTTCTCCAAGTAAGACTATTCTTCCCTTGGTCTTGCATCACTTCTCCATACGGCTTGTTACTTGATACGTGCATGACATTTTCCATTTGAGTTTTATCTTTCATTTGGTCTTGCACATGCACGCCATTACTTCTCTTATTCAATTTATTGTGGATAAACTGTACACCATGCGGGATATCATATGAAGTTGTTTTAAATCATCTACTGTGATCACCTTCAATCGACCCAGACCAATTTATTGATTTATACCTTCAATTGGCTCGAACCGATTTATATATTTACACCTTCAATTGGCCTAGACCGATTTATTAATTTAAACCTTCAGTCGACCCAGACAGATTTATAAATTCACACTTTCGATCAGCCCAAACCGATTTATAGTTTACACCTTCAATTGGCCCAGATCGATTTATAGATTTACACATTCAATCGACCCAGACCAATTTATAAATTTACACCTTCAATCGGCCCAAACCGATTTATAAAGTCACACTTTCAATCGGCCTAGACCGATTTATAGTTTACACCTTCAATCAGCCCAGATCGATTTATAGATTTACACCTTCAATCGACCCAGACCGATTTGTTGATTTACACCTTCAATCGGCCTATACCGATCTAAAAAGTAACACCTTCAATCGGCCCAGACCGATTTATTGATTTACACCTTCAATCGGCCTATACCGATTTATAAAGTCACACTTTTAATCGGCCTAGACCAATTTATAGTTTACACCTTCAATCGGCCCAGATCGATTTATCGATTTACACTTTCAATCAGCCCAGACCGATTTATTGATTTACACCTTCAATCGGCCTATACCGATTTATAAAGTCACACTTTTAATCGGCCTAGACCAATTTATAGTTTACACCTTCAATCGGCCCAGATCGATTTATCGATTTACACTTTCAATCAACCCAGACCGATTTATTGATTTACACCTTCAATTGGCCCAGACCGATTTATAAAGTCACACTTTCAATCGGCCTAGACTGATTTATAGTTTACATCTTTAATCGGCCCAGATCGATTTACAGATTTACACCTTCAATCGGCCCATACCGATTTATTGATTCACACCTTCGATCGGCCCAGACCGATTGAAGGACTTGCACCTCAAATCGACAAGTCATCGACCTAATCCACACAATGGTCCTTCCGACCTAATGAGCTGCTATCACTAATCCGCTCAGTTTGCACTCATTCGATTAAATCTACTCTCTAAGCTAAATACTTTTTAACTTAGAGAGTGGGGGGCTAACTGTTAGAGCCAAAAATCGTCTTGAGCTTGATGAGGCCCAATAACCAAATAAACATGTTACGGCCCAAGGCCTCAGCCCAATCCCGATAGGGCCTATGCTTAAAATCACCTTGTGAACTATCCACTCTATGAGTTTGGCTATCCTATAAGTTAAGCTAAACTGCCATTAGCCCGCAACAGTCTATAAATAAGAAATCAGAATCCCATTCCATTTCCTCTCCTACTAAGATTTCTAATCTTACTCAAACTATTAAACTTAATCTGATAAAGTCAAGAAATCATATTTCTTTCTTGATAGGGATTATCTCCCAAAAGAGGACTCAGTGTCCTACTAGGATTCCAACCCCTTGGGTGGGTTCACTATAAAAACAGAGGCTTGCCGTCTCATTATGCATGTGATCTCCCATAGTCAATCTACTATATATACTCAAAACCATCTATTTGCTCCTAAAGTTCTGGCTCCCAAGGACCCGACGCCTCTGTCGTAATCCTAGCCTCCGATAAGACTCCTGATAATTCTTCTTCTCCTTAATCTTTAGCAAATAATCTCTTTTAGCTCTGCTGACTTGAGCGTCGGAATGCCTACGACAAACACCACCCCGGTGTTTTCTGTAAGCTTTATGCTTGTCCTTTCATGTGTGTAGGTCTAGTGGATTATCAGTGGCCTCAATCTCACGAGATCAGACTCTATTTTCATGACAGTAGATTTTTGCATCTACATTTTTAATTTATTGTACTTGGACTAAATTGGACGGGTGTACAATTTTGGATCTCAATCCAAGTCAATATTTGATTGAAAGTACAAATGTTTTGGTACTAAATACGAGGAAGTACGCAGTCTTGGACTTTTGATAGAATTACAATTGATTAAATTTAATACTATCACTTGTTTAATATAACATAGAACTGAATTTATAATTAATTATTTAAATAAATTATAATATATATTTTAAAAACATATAGAGGTCCGCCGACTCCACCGGTGACGGTTGCTGGAGAGTGGTGACATTGTTCTTGAGATTTTTTTTTTTAATTAATGAAAATACCTTACACCTTTAAGAAACATAATAAAAACAAAGTTATTATTATTTTATTATTTTAAATTTTTTATAACAATCTTAAATTATTAGAAGGGTTAAAGTTTATAGCTTACCATAGGAAATTTCTATTGCTGGGTTGGTAAATCATTTAGGTAAAACCTCTCCAAAAAAAAAAAAAAAAAAAAAAAAAAATCTTGATCAAAATAGCATAAATTAAAGGCAAATGAACTTTATAACTTTCCTCAAAAATCTCTTTGAAAAACTGTGTAGCATAAATTAGAAATGTTTGGTTGAGTTTATTTACTGCCCAAACGGTTGAAAGATTTTATTCAAAAGTTAAAGTAACTTTTAAAATTTCTTTACATTATTTAATTAAATTCCAAAAATATTTTTAAAATTTAAAATAAGGTATTTTAAGTCTACTAATTTGAGTTCTCCAGTAAGTTCTTTTTTAGTTTATTGAAAGTGTTAAAATTTAAAAATTATCCACACACTATTTCATAGATTTGATTATTATATATTAAAACATTTCTTGATGATTTAAAATTAAAAAGCTCTCATATGATTTTTTTTTTTCAACTATAAAATTAACAAATTTATCATATATCTTTACTCTCATAATCAGTTTTATTCCCATGAACTCTATTCAAACTAACAATACCCAACAAACCTTACTAGGACTACAATTTAATATTGAATGGTGTGAATGGTTCTATTGGATTTGGCCCCCAGTTCTACTTCGTAAATGCTCCATTTAAAAGTTTTGAAATTAATTAATTTTTTTTTTTTTGAGTGATGCTTTTGACCCTCCACAATTTATCTTAATAAACTATATGTCTAAATTTACCAGCTCGACTAATCCTTTAGACCCCTGAAAATGTGATTCGAACTCATGACTTTTTGAGTGATACACCTAATAGTCCTTGTCTAATTACTCAACCACCCAAAAATGGTTCAGTTGAGCACATTCGCTTAATATGTGTTTTCTTTAAAAAAATAAAAATAAATAACAAACTTATAAATTTTGTAAACGTAGAAATCAATTGAAAATTTGAAACAATAAAATGTGATAAAATAAACCCTAATAATTTCATGCATACATGTTATTGATCAAACTCATTTCATCTTAATTATTTCAAGATAAATCAAAATAAGAGTTTATAATGTATAAAAGGAAATAGAAATTTTAACAGTTAAAGATTTATTCTAGATGGATTGTGTATTGAATCTTATTTAATAATTTTCATAAAAGATAAAACTGTAATTAAAAAATAAACAGTAATTGGGTCAATTCAAATAAAAGGTGGATCAATATCATCATTTTTTTTTTTTAGTAATACTATATTCACAAATTTTCTCTTACAGCTTCGACGTGATAATTTGCAATTGGTCAGTTGTAATTTATCGGGTGAGACTCAAGTAAGATCTATTACAAACTGATTAATTGTGAACTGTCACGTCAGAGTTGGAAGAATAAATTTGTGAGAAGAGGTTATGTTATTTTTTTATTTTTTCTTACCACATCCCACAAGATCCATTAATGCTCTCATTCGTGTAGAAATTAGGTTTAAAATATAAATTGAGCTTAGACCCAGGAAGACCTTAGGGTAATATCATGGAGGAATTAGGTTAAAATGTAGATTGAGTTGGACCTACAAGGATCTTAGGGTTAACTTAGAAATATAATATGTTCATCAGAGTTTTGAGTCCAAAGACGTCAAGCACCCATGTTTAAGGAAACATGGGTCCGGTATGGCAAGGAAGGCGACATGGCAAGAAAAAGCGTCAAGCTTTCCACTTGTGAATCTTGAATGCAATTACACAATTATTGTACTCTGTATTAAATTCCCATTCAATTCAAGACCTTTCAAACTAATTTTCTCTCAATTCTACTTCGTTTTTAATCTCTTTACGAACACTGAAATTCGATCAAAAACTATAGCTCGGAAAATCATTGATTCATTGAAGAACCATATGATCTTCACCATGGTTGGGACGTCGTAAATGATAAAGGAAAACATTGAATAATTCGAATTGCAACTTTGAGCTTTCCATTCCTGAATCTTGAATGCAAACTCAAAACAGAAAGTATAGGCACATTACATATGCTTGAAAGGGCTGGCTGGTTACAAAAGGACAAGACATTTTCATCTCTGTTTTTATGTTTATCATTTTCCATGTAAGAAGAGATTGAGATTGTGAAGATGGAATACCAGGTTTTGACTGTCTATATTTTGCACAAAGAGAAACAAAAATTACAACCAGAAAAATATCAATCACATCTTATCTTCGCACTAGTAACACCTTGGATCACAAAAAGAATCTTCATTTATAAGTAATTTTATCAAATTTAAACATTGTCTTTGATTTTCGTTTCTAATTAAAGGGTCTCGAAATCTATTCACTTCATTCATCATATCTTGATACTCATAATGGAGCAATTCCCCATCCAACCATCAAAAAAGAATTGCAAAAATAAACAGATCATGGAGATATTCACATTCAAAATACAGCGGCCACCTATCTAATACAATGCTTCTCCTACCCACAAAAACCAACATAAGATGCATAAACTCATTTTAGGAAGGGCACCAGGCACCTTCGTTTTATTTTGTAAGAAAAATTCTGTAATCACCTCGTATTAATACCAGAACATTGTCCTTCATCTGAATCTACCAAAAAGTAAGGATTAAATACCTTCATGACTTGTTCATAGACTGGCTTCTTGAAATCCACAGCCTGCTCAAGAAAAGGTTTTAACAAATTAGGAAAGAATGATACAAAGCCTCTAAAGAAAAGGAACTCATTAGACACTAAAAAATGAATGATCCTGCAATAACGTTTACATACCAGTTCTAAAACTTGTTCAGGAAACATCCACGACCACTCCTTAAACTCTGGCTTTTCAGATCCATCCCCCAAAAGATTGATCTCTTCCTCCTTTCCCGTGAACTTAAAAAGAAACCTGTTTCTCGAACAATAACAAACAAAATCATATGGATTATCAATGTAAATCAGATTTTGTAAAATAGGAGCAAGCAACTTAAACAAGGCTAGGAATTATCTATTGACAAAATAAATATAGGAACATCTAGGACTGAAATTGAGTAAGGGTGCAGGCTTAAAGATTCAGCTTTAAAGATCATCGAATCATGTAACAGCTGTGAAAATGAAAATGCTGTTCCTAGATAACCATCTAGCATTGCGTATGAGCTAAATGTGACATTGAAAACATGTTTCCTGTCAAATCAAAGGGAAAAATAGTATGACAAGGAAAACAACTTCATACTTCAGGACCATGCATCAAGCATAATTGATAATTACACCTAAAAGGGGTCAAGTTTTCCTGCAAGCAATGATATGATTATCAAAAGTGGAGAGACAACACCAAGGCAAATGCAAATTACACGAAGGAGAAAAAACACACAACTTGGACTCAACCAAGATATATGTCTACAGGTGCTCAAGCTTGATAACTACCCAGCAATACACAAAATTAAAGGTAGCTGACAAGGAGCAATTAAATTGGGGAAATCAATGCAAAAATTGAAAAGTAAAGTCAGTAATAATAACTAACATTATTGCAGTAAATGCAACTAGTTCTACCAAACTTCAATATATAATGCATTGATCATATATAAGTAGATGGTAATCTTACCACTTCTGTGCTTGACCTTTATAATTTGTTCCCCAGCGACGGTTAAGTCTATCTTTGACTTTAAGTGGAAAATCATAAGTCAGCCAATAAGGTGTCTACATAAAAATGGAAATATCAGTTCAGTCAAGACATGTTGCAGGAAGGTGTCATTTCATCCTCTGAGACATGGTACCAGACTCCAAGAATACAGGTTAAACATTCAAATATAAAAAGGATTATCTGAACACACCTCTGCAAGAAATTCTGTCGAGGTAACACCTGTTTCTTCTCTCAATTCTCTCATGGCTGCATTTCTCAGATCCTCCCCCTCATCAGCACCACCCTGTACAAAATGGCACATTAGAAAATTTATAGGCATAAATCTTTCTAAATAATGCCCACCCAAATCTCAGTGTTAGAAAGACATCTGAAACCAAAAAAACACTTATTTTAGCTCATATCTCCTAAGCCACATCAATGAATCTGAAGCATTAACAAATCCCATGCCACAGACGGTCATACCTCTCTCTTCAAGGTAAAAACAAAGTGTACATTCAAATCATCAAAATACTAAGATTGCCTCAATCTAAGTTATCTAACCCTAAAACATCAATACTTCTATCATGCATACCATAGCAACATTTGGTTATATCCCCATTCACAAAAACACAAACCCCAGTTAAAGTGGACGAATAGAGCTAGCTGATAAGTAAAAATATAAATAAAATAACTATAAAAAACAAATAAACCCATTGTAACAAGAACTAACAGCCCCATCTAAAATTAGCTTTAGTGAAGATTTGTACATCTTGTTACTCAATTGCTGTCCCTATTCCTACAATACCTTACTGTGAATACCTGTTTCATCTAAGAGCAATTTGATATTCCAAAGTGTAAATTGCTTCAACACATCCCCATACATGGCTTCACATTACATCCACATTTAGTCGAAAACATTTGTCATATGAAAATAAGAAATTGAATTCTGTATTTGTAAATTCTACAATGTATTTCATATCATATTTGGAAAATGGTTTTCAAATATCAAATATAATGAACATGTCTATTTTTCCAGAAGAAATTATAACAATATCTTCATTCATTGAAAAGGTACTTACAAAATATTTTTTTTTTAAATTTCACAAATATCCCACAAAATTAACCAAAAACCCATTTCCAATCTAAGTGAATAAAGAAAAAAAAGTAAATCTTATTGGAACCATAATCTAAAAAAAAGAAAAAAGAAAAAAAAGAACAGGTTTTAGAATTATCACACACTCCCTCAATTCCCGAAACTTTACACACAAAACTCATCGCCTAATCATCAACGCTACATGAACTCTGTCACCGTAACCCCATGAACATTTTGTAATTTAACAGAACAATTACATCTTATCATTTCAAAATTCAAGTCACACTGAAGCTAAAACAATATAAAATGACTCAATTTCAACTCTAAATTCACCGAACAAATGAACCAAATCTACCTGAGGCATTTGCCATGTGTCCGGTATATTAATCCTCGAAGCTGCAAAAATTTTCTACAAAAGGAAAGAATCAACCAATCAAAAGCAGCCACGTATTATTTGCAGAATTAGATAAAAGTTACAGAGAAGATAGAGTCACCAGACCTTATTCGAAGAGTCAACGAGACAAATCCCGACGTTTCTTCTATACCCGTCGGGAGGCGAATCCAAGTTCAAGCCCGTTAAACGACTGCGTATCCTCAATTTTACGAGGTTACAACAGTTATAACAAGACAGCTGCAACGCCAGTGGCACACTCGAAAATTTATCCAACTTTCCACGACAAAACGGGGAATTTCCACTCACTCCCACTCTACACACAGCCATTTTACGCGTCGTCGTTTCGTTTGTTTTCCGTTACTTTGTTTTTCTTGGGCCCCAAGTTTTAATCTCAAAGTCTCGCGAAGATACCTACTTTTCTTCTTATCTTTCCGTTTTTTCTATTCCCAAAATACCCTCACCGCCTTTTGTTAATTACCGCGCGCCAATTCTATATAAAAGCCCCCTTTCATTTTCTCTGTTCTTCAGTTCACACAAACACAGCGCAAAAAAAAAAAAAAAAAAAAAAAAAAGTTAAATTTCATTAAAAATTTCTCAATATGGAGGCCATTTTTCCGGTGATATTCTTCGACGGCGAGTGTGAAACCGACATCGGACACGTCGTGGTTTACCCTTCGCTTGATTACAAGACTTTGCAGTCGTTTCTCAGTCACAAGATTGGAATTTCTCCGAGCCAGTTCTCTGTTCATCTCGCGGACGCGAAGACATATCGGAAGATTCCGATCACAGGTAAGGCGAATTTTTCGGCGATTTGTCGTGAGACTGACTGCTTCTTTCTCGTTTCGCTGAGACGATCACGGGATCCTCGTTCTCGGCGGCAGAGGCGGCAACAGCCGGAGAAGCAGCCTGCAGCTAATGTTATGTTACTAAAAAGGAATAGTGACGTTAGGGCTATTAATAATAATAATAACAATAACAACAACAACAACAACAACAACTGGAATGGATTCAACGGCGGCGTATTGGTTTGTGAGGAGTGCGTGAGAGCAAAGAAGACGGGCAGAGATTTTGGATTTCACGTGTGTGTTTATGATACTGTGACTTACGGGTTCAGGTCACCGGCTGGCCCCATTGCCCGACCCGTTAAAGAGTCGGTTTAGGTAAACGGGTTTTCTGTGATTAGTTAAAAAGATGAGATATGGTACATAAGAAAGGCGTGATTTAGAGGAATGATACGACAGCGTTTTGGGTTGTGAGATTTTTAGGGAAATTAATAGCCAGATTTACAAATTTTCTTTGAAGAAAAGGGAATTTTGTTATGTATTGTAGAGTTGAAAGGATTGTTAGTTCTTTGTTTCTTTTGGAAATGCAACCGTTTGTATTGTATTGATGCAGACACAATTCCTCTTTGGATTGTTGAATTCTTATCATGTGTCATCTTTATTCATTTGGATTGATTTTGGAAGCCTAAAGGAAAGTCAATCCAATAGTCTATGTGTAAGGTAATATCACCTTTAGTAAGTTTATATCTCATATTTTTACTGATTTTTCTTGCAAATTAATGGATTTATAATGTAAGTGTTATTGTTGTTATGGGTTCTTTTTATCGTTTTAGTTATAAATTTATTGCTTATCCCTTTTTCTTTCCGTGGGCATGGAGCTAGTAGCAATCCCATTACAATACATCAGGCAAGGGTGAAAGAGAACTGGCTTATGATTCTCACTTTCCCCCGGCTCTTTAGGTAAGTAAATAGAACTACCTCTCTCCCACTTAAGACCTGACTGAACTTCTAGTGAAGCCTCGCACTCGGCCGCCCAACACAAAATCCAAAAAGGTATTAAATCCAGTTGGATTGGGGACGACCTGACCAGAGGGGCTTTAAAGAGAAGTTTTTAGAAATCAAGTCTGTGGCTTGGAATCACCAGAATTCCCGAAAAGCCACAGGCCAAGCCTTTCCCTTAAGAACCGGGCGGAACAGGGGTAAGGAAGGGCTCACTACTCCCACTGGGGTTAGGAAGTAAGCACCACAACCCAAAGCTGCCAAGAACAAATAGCATTTGCTACAAAAGCCGGCTTATTCCCGCGTATGAGAACATAGTCATGGATAAGGTAATAGGCGTAATTGGTGAATGACTTACTTGAAGTACAAGGTCTGGTAGACATGTGCCCAACTTATAAATGGGGTCATTATTGGTTTCAAACTCTAGAGGAAGCATTAGGCTCATGATTACTCCATCAATCACTTTGTAGCCACTACCAACATAAGCCCTTTACGAAAATTGCAATGATTTTCATTGCTTTTTCTTTTCTTTTCTTTTCTTTTTAAAAAAAAAGGAAAACTTGTAACATCTAAACTAATTAAAATAAGTTTTGGTTTTTTTATAAATTTTAAACATAAATGTCTTTATAATTCCCTAAAATAGAAATAGATGGTTATAAATTTCTATCAATAAAAAATAAATCGCAAAATTGATGTTATAATTTCCAAAAAAAATTAAATATAGTAGTTGTTAGACGTAAAATAAACAAATACATATATATTTGTCTAAATATAAAATTATATGTACATCGCATGTAGCCATGTATTATTTTGATTTTTTGTAATAATATGCATATTACACAAAATTCATTAACTTTGTATTTGTGATTAGACAGAAGCATTTGCGGTGCAGCCGCACAGTAGTATAACACATGATACACATTTTTGCTAATGAACTCCAAGCTGCCACGTGTACTGAAATTGACAAACTAAAACCTCTGCCAGATATCACAGAGACCATCCGTTGAGTCGATTTTCTAACTGCGGAAACATGCATAGCAGCCTTTTAACAAACTCATTCCCCACACTCTCGAGTACAAAACTAACTAAACTCGCTTAAAATCTCAACAATTTAATCATATCAACACGCGTCAAAATTTCATAGCGAGTGGATACAATGTTTCCACAAGCGAGTTGAGAAAAGTTGAAGAGTGACATAGTGAGCCGAAACGGGCGAGTAGTGGAGAGTGGGCAGCCGAGTTATACGGCACTGACTCGTCTTAGGCGTGTGCCGAGTCGTCACGTGATCTCAGTACTGTTCCCTCAGCCAAAGAAAGGTAGATAAGGACGTGTTTGGTTTCACCTTTTTTGTTCTCGGAAATTTTTTCTTAATTTTCTTTTTTAGGGTAAAGCTTTTAATTTCATAAAATAAAATGATCTTAAACTAATTATAATAAATTGTATACATTTTTTAAATAAATAATTTCAAATTTATGCAAAAATAAATAATACTGTAGTAAATAAAATGTAATATTTTATTTCTAGAGTATTATTTTCATTAACGGGCCCCACCAACTATTAATTAAAAAACATACCAAAACAATTTTCAGAAAGTAATAAATACCTCCATAAGATTACCAAAAATCAGAAGAGAATATCACAAAACAGTTGAAACATAAAACAACCAACCTAAAAAGGCTTTTACTATTTTCCAAATATTGTTAAGGCAATAAAACAAGACTGAAGTCAAAATAAAATGACATAGACGAGAGACCAAGACAAAATTGAACTAAAATTTATAATAATTTTCTTGATTCCTTGACCGAAAAGAATAGTCAGTTTCCAATGCTAACCCGGGCCACCCGAACCAAACAAAACTAATTAATCACAAACCAAACGGGCCCAACAATCTCACTCTCCCAGTCCCTCACGCACACACTCTCTTCTTTACTTCTTTATATAACACACAAAAACAGAGAGAGGAAGAAGAAGAAGAAGAAACATAAAACCAGAACTCGTAACGTCGATTTCAAAAACACTTACTCTCCACACTGTCTCTACTCATAAAACACTTCTCATTTTCTTTGTTTTTGGTTTTTTCCTTTTTTTGTTGTGATAATAATTATTTTGTATAAGCATGGCTGAGTTTCCTCCGAATTTGGACGATGGAGAGCGCTATCTTCCGTCTGATATTTTCATAAACGAAAGGCCGCGTCACCGCCTTGTTGATGACGTGGCACACCATTTCAATGCGCTGTCTTTCCTTCAACAAGCTCATCACCCACCTCCTCCTCCTGAGTTTCAGTTTCAGTTCGAGGTTTGATTTAATTTAATAATTATTTATCTATTTATTTATTTAATAAATAAACTCTGAACTCTTCGTTTTCTCTTTATTGTTTCTGTGTAGCGGTCGAAGCCTCCGGTTCGGGGCACTACACTACCAAATGGTTACTTCGGTGCAGTCAACGGTGGTCTCCAATTTGGTCAAAGGCTCCGCCCGTACGATACCGGGTCGTTTTCAAAACCCGCTTTGGATTTACATATCCTCAAATCCACCCCTCCTCTGGTAACTAACTAAACTTTAAACCGGGTTTTTTTGAAATTTTATTAGATAAATCGGTATGTTTCCGGCATATTAGTGACCAGTAACATTATAAAACTAAATGTTTGGTTGCAAGGTGTTCATAATATGTCCGGTAACGTTACCGGGACAAGTACTGTACAAATTTTTTTTTTTAATATTGTTATAGGGATGGTTGTCCTTTATAAGGCGGGTCGTAAATCGCTATGTTTCCGGTTACTGTACCGAAATATTGGTGACCATAAACATTACAAAACAAATGTTTGGTTGCAGGGTGTTCATAATATGTCCGGTAACGTTACCGGGACAAGTGCTGTACAAAATTTTTTTTTTTTTTGGTACTTGTTATAGGGATGGTTTTCCTTTATAAGGCGGGTCATAAATCGGTATGTTTCCGGTAACTGTACCGAAATATTAGTGACCAGTTACATTTCAGCACGAGTAGTTGGTTGCATGTTGTTCATCATATTTCCGGTAATACCGGGGAAGTACTGTAGCTTTTTTTTTTTTTTTTAAATAGTTATAGAGATGGGTTGTCTTTTCAAAGCTTTAATGGGTCAGGGGTGATCATTAAATATGACGAAGAAGATTTGTTCTTTTGATTTGAGTGATAGGTTGAGTGCTACAAGGAACCGAGAACAACTAGGGTTTTGCAGAAACAGCAAAACCGGTTACTGCAACAAAACCAAAACCGGGTGGTTTTGAGAGGTGGGTTTGGGTTCAATGGCGGTTTAGTGAGAGAATCGGGAGGGACAGGCGTGTTTCATCCTCGCATTATTAAGACTACTAATACCACTACTGCCACTGCAACTTCCACTGATGCCAAGAAGAAGGGTGAGTTATTATTGCCTTCAGTTTTCCTATTTTGTTCAAAGTGTTCTTGACAAGTTATTGTTTTGGGCTTTGCTTTGCTTTCTGTTTTTGGTGTTTAAGTATGGGGTTTATCTTCTGCTACAACTGTCACATTTTGCACTCATAATTGTGAAAAACAATTAAAGAAAGGGGACATTTCAACCTTGATTATTTGAAACTAAAATTATTATTATTATTATTATTATTATTTTTGGTAAAATAGGCATTGTTAATACAAATGGGTAGAGGTCTTCGTCAGTCAAAGAAAGGTCATGAGGTTAGGTCTGGGGAGTCAGAATTGAAAAGTTTTTAGGTGGGGTGTATTTTTAAACTTGCTGACCAAATTAGCATTTTTTATATGCATAATTAATGCTTCAACTGGTCAACAGAGGTTTTGTTCTATAATGCAGAGGGATTTTAACTGGAGTTAATGTGTCAATCTGTTTAGGAATGTTCTTTAGAAATCAGGCTTATGTATCAGAATTCCTTGTTTGGTGCCTTGGTTGTTGAGAACATTGAAGGAAATTAAAAAGAACCTTATATATGCAATAACACTATTGTGGCAGCAACACACTACTGGGAGTAATGTTGGTTAGATATATATTTTGTAATCCGAAAGTGAAACTTCATATTTATCATCAGAATTGTCCACGAAAATTGATTTGTTATTCCTACAAGCTTGACATTCAGTGCTGTAAATTACAATTGCACTAATGTCATGCGCAAAAGCTTTTCTTGTCTTTGAGGCTCCATGAAACACAGTTTGCTTATATAAGTATATATTATATATCGCAGTTGTGAGAAATAGGCAGGATATTCAGGCGATGCAGCAGAGGAACTCCATGAAAATGGTGGGGGTAAGCAAGCGGGAGGATTGCCATTATCATCTTCCTGCAGACATGGGATTGCCCAGGGACTGGACTTACTGACTCTTTTTATAACAGTGCTACTAAATACTAATTGATAGAATAAGAGCTTAAACTATCTTCTGGGTTTTGCGGAGGGAAAACTTGAATAGACATAGATGAAGTTTGAAGAAATTATGTAGGGGTGTTTTGTAAAAATAGAAAAAAAAAAAAAAAAATCAATTGGCTGTGTGTGTTTCTTTTTTTCCAATCTTAACCTATCCAATCTTATTCTAAATGCATTTAAAATTCAATATTTTATTCAAACTCAGAATATTTAGATTTTTTTAACCCTTTACATTTGTTAATTTAATTAAACACCTCTAACAATAAATATTTTTACATTGACAAAAACATCCTTATCCACTCATATATTCTCGACAGTCGCTATCACCGTCTGAAGGTGGTCAGATCTAGCTGGTCTTGCATCACTTGTGTTAATGATAATGATAATGTGCTAGTAACTCCTTTTAGTAGTACATTTTTTCTTTATATTATGCTAAAGGTTTTAGTTATAATTATTAAGTGCGTTTTATATATAATTAATACAACTTTAAATCAATAATTTATTAAATTATCATGAAACCAATTAAACTTTTATTAAATGCTTGTGGTTAGTAATGTAAAACATATAATTTACGAACTTAATATGTTTCTCTACGGTTAAAGTAAAATTAATGGATAATGGAGATCAACAAAGCTACATACACCGAAAAATTTGCACAAAAAATGTGTATCAGTTTACGTATATTAGGTGTCTGATTTTTTTATTAATTTTTTTCTAGTGAACGGTCGTCCATTAAATATGGACGGTCGTTCACTCACATGGACTCCGGTCCATATTATATGAACAGACGTCCCTATTTAAAAGACGTCTGTCTATAAATAAAATACAATAAAAAAATTTATAAAATATTAAGGACGATCGTCCATCCATTATGGACGGTTGTCTATTACTTTTGGACAAGTACCCACAAATAATGGACGTCCGGGCCTTGACCCAAATATGAAAAAAAAAAAAAAAACTCTTGGATGACCACTGGACATCGTCCATACTTTTAAATTAAAAAAATTCTAAACAAAAACTCATTCTTCTTCGTCTTCGTTCCCCATCTCCTCTCTTTTTCTTCGTCTCCATAGTTGGTCAGAAGGTGGCCATTTACTGAGAGAGAATACCTGGAAATCAGTTTAATTAGACTATTAATAGAATCAAGTGCCGGAACATCATTGTTATCAATATATTCAACATCAGGGCTCTTGAAAGAATCACAAGCAGACATCGTCTCATCCATAGAAACTGAATTTGCATCTGATTTAGAAGGAGAAACATCCATGCAACAAGAAGCTGGAACTGCAGCAATACTAGGTACAATTTTATCACTTTTGGGTATTGATGCAACTTTAGAAGGAAAAACATTGCTTGATTTTACAATACTAGGGGCAGGTTCTTCAGTTCTTGGTAAAGATGTAACCTTAGAAGGAACAACTGTGTTTGATTTTGAACTTAATGATGCAGGTAAAAGGTTCCCAGAGAAGCTTGTGCTGACACTGGAGGCAGGATTAGATTTCTTTGTTTTGGCAACTTTACTCGAGCATGGTACCTACAAGCATGAAATTAAGTAAATCAAGCGCTCAAAGTTAGCATTTTCATTTACCATACAGCTAAACTTTGAAAATTAAACGAGACTACTGTGAAATTCCAAACTTATAAATGAGTTACTTTTTAAATTTCACAGATGTTCTTCTGATTTCTCTCCGTTAAATTAAAATTAGTGCCAGTTTTTGCTATAATCCAGTGATATTCTTTTCTCAAATCAATCTTTTCTTTATCTGGAAATCTTAATATACACTGCCAATAAAAGACTACGTACATATTTAACTGTTATATATTGTAATTATTCATTTTCTTTTCTTTTCTTTCCATTTTCTCAGCAACCAAACTGGTGATTCTTTTTTTTTTTTTTAAAGAAAAAAATCATCCAGAAACACAAATTTTGAAACACCCACAACTCAAGAGAAAGTTTCTTTCCCAAACATAGTTCCATCACTCAAGAGCACGGTTCCAAGCTCACATATGCCGTAGCATTCTCAGCCAAGTCCCCAGCATCTCGCAGAGCAAATACCTACAAGTTTCACCTCCTGATTCAAATTCTTCAGCAGCAGTTTCTTAAACAGACCATGCCGATTGAAAGCTTATATACAGCACGCCTATCTTATAAAATAAAGACGAAGAAGAAGAGTGGAGATGAGGAATGAAGACGAAGAAAAAGAGAGGAGATGGGGAACGAAGAGGAAGAGAAGAGCGAAGAAGAATGGGTTTTGTTTATAATTTTTTTTTTTTTTATTAAAAGTATGGACGTCCATCAATTACCAATAGACACCCGTTTAAATGTAAGGGACATGGACATCGTTCAAAATTTATGACGGCTGTCCTAAAAGACTTTTTTTTTTTTTTTTTTTTTTTTCATATGTCGGTCAAAATTTGATGGATAGTCGTACTTAATGTTTAGTTAATTTTTTTATTATATTTTATTTATGGACAAACGTCTTTTAAATAAGAATGTTCGTTCTTAGTATATGGATCCCGTCTATATAATATAGATAGAAATCCATGTGAATAAGATCATCCACTAGAAAAAAATTGATAAAAAAATCAGGTGTCTAATACATGTAGATTGATACACATTTTCGATATAAATTTTTCGGTGTTCGTAACTTTGTTGAATGGAGATTGCTATGCTTAACGACGCCTAATATAATTGTGAATAGAGGAAATTTCATTTACCTTCTTTCCGTTTCAAGATTATCTTTGACATCGCTTCTCTTATTCTATTGTAACATTGGTCAATGGACAGTTCTTGCCTCAAACATTGTTCAATGGCTACTCTTAGGTTCCAGTCGATTGGCCCTTCGCTGTCATTTGGATGTATAGTGCAGGACATTAATTTCTCTTCCTCCCCTGAAGTTTTAGATTTTACTCTCACACCCCTCATGTATGATAAACGAAGTCACCTCCCCCAACCATTAATGAAATTATACTTAATTATCTAACCTACGTCTTCTAGTTTTAATTAGAAAGCAAAGTTCTAATTATTTCATAACTCATCCTAGTATTTCATTAATTATATTTATAACATTATAAAAATAAAATTATACTCTATATACTTGTGTAAATACTAAATATCACATCAACAATACCACTTGTATAAATATCATTCAACAATCAAGCCTATATACTTATCCCACCACAAATGAGACCCCTTTCCATCTTTATTTTAAAAAGTTTTTATTTATGAATTGAAGAAAAAAATCACATATAATATAAAAATGTTTCCGTTAGGGAAAATATCATAAACTACCTTTTAAGATTTTTAAATTTATCATTTGAATCTTAGCTTCCACACCTTTTATTAAATGAATAATACTACACCAACAATTCTCTCTCACAAACTTTCTCTTACAACCCTGACGTGACAACTCGCAATTAGTCAGTTCACAACGGGTCCCACATGAGTCCTGCATGAATCTCACTAATTAATTGCAAGCTGACCAATTGCGAGCTACCACGTTAGAGTTGTGAGATAAAGTTTGTAAGAAATGGTTGTTGGTGTAGTATTACTCTTATTAAATAGACTCTCAAAGCTAGAAAATTGTGCACTTGTACTCCTGTGCCTTATAAAATGAGCCCTCAAAAGTCAGAACTAATATCACTTTATTCTAACTCTTTTACATTGTTTTTAGGATTACAAGAATAAATTACCCTATTACCCCTCTTAAAATATGCTTTTTTTTTTACCTCTCCCCTTAGTGATCGAATGGTAAACCCTTTAGCCACTGGGGTTAGCTATACTCAAGAAGTCTTTTGTTCGAGTCGCAGAAGAGATACCTACCACATTTGTGCAATTAACTTGGTCCATTGGGCTTGTAGGGTGTTTCGTGATCCTGAGGATTAAGCAAGCTCTAATGTGGGCCTCAATACCTTAGATACCAAAACAAAAACAAAAAAAAAATAGAATTAACGAATTTTTCCCACCCGAGAAAAAGCTTAATGACAGTTTCCCACTCTCAAACTTTTAAAATACCATTTTAGTACCCAAAGTACAATTTTATTAGTAATTTTCATTGTAAAGAAGGGTATGATGGTTAAAAGTCCATAATAAGTGAGGGTAGAATAGTCAATAAACATTTTGTATCTGAAATCAAAAAAAAAAAAAAAAATTCCAAAAGATGACGAATGGCGGAAGGCAGCGATTCACGACAAATGAATGACGAGTAATCAACCTGTGAGTAAAAACGCGTATTATACGCGACATTATACGGACAGCTGTATCTTCGCCCATAAACGCACGTATCCGAATTTTGTAAATCTGCCGTATATTATTCGCGTATAATAATGTGTCACGTATAAATTCGCGTATAATTCGCGAATTATTCGCGAATTTTTGAAAAACAAAAAACATAATCTCACACCCCCAAACGACGTCGTTTTGGTGGGTTTAATAACAAAAATTAAAATAGATCTGGTTCACTGGTTCTCTCGTTCTTTCAATTCTTCGCAGTTCAGCCCATTCTTCTTCTTCCTCATTCTTCTTCATCTTTTTTCCTCACAAATTTCCACAAGCAATCAATCAACTCCACATCAACACACAACAATCAACTCCAGCAAATATCACTTTCCACAGCCTTCGTCCTCTTTTGTATAGACATAAGTTTACTTTATACAAGAGAGCCGAAGTTTAAACTTTTAAGAAGAAGTGAAAGACTGAGAGAAGGTGAACAAAAAAAGAAAGAAGAGAAGAAACTTACAGAAGAAAGAGAGAGAAAGTTTTGCAAAGACAGAAAATGAAAGAGAAAGAAAGGAGAGAAAATTTAATAAAAATATACTTTTAAGTTTTAACTTTTTACTTGATTCTTTGTAATATTAGTAATTGACTGTAGGGTGTATTTGTAATTTTTATAAACATTAGTTTTATTATGATTGTGTTTGAGTTGGAACTAATTTGAATATCATTATATTTATATATTGTGTATTTGTGTTATGGTTTTAATTGAATACTTTGTATTTGAAATGTATATTATTTTTAACCAGTATCCATAAAAATGTTAAAACTAAGAT